TTAGGGGCTGCCACCCCGCTGACCTCTCCCAACATTCCCCTCCAACAACTTTAAAATAATGCCTAACCTCCAATTTTGGAGGAGCAGAGCCAACAAAAGGTCAGGGTAATACATTTTTCCAGTCTAAAAAAACTTGGGCCGGCAGGAGGGGTCTCTGGCACCAGGCTGGAGGCCTGTCTGGGGCCAGCACCAGCAACAGATGCGGGAGATGGCCATGCAGGGCTGGTGGCAGCAGTTCCAGGAGCTCTCTGCCCAGAGACAGTGAGGGGGTCAGACAACTGGTCCAAAAGAGACCACAGGAAACCCATTGCTGACACTGCAGCAGTCGGTGCTGACTGGCAACCCTATTGCTCAAATGCAGTTCTGGGTCTCGGTTTCAGGGCAGAGAGAGCACTAGCACTTGTGGCTACAGGGTACCATGGGCCTATCCTGGGTAAACACCAGAGCACAGAGTAGGAGAGCAGTGATCACACGTCTTCTTGGATTGCACCATCTCAGGAGCACCAAAGACTTACTGGCCCCCCCCAGAACTAGCTCTGAAAATAGCTGCATGAAAAAGCCTGACGCTTGGGACAGTGACTTCTCACCTCCATTGAGAACAGCCCAACTTTAACATAAAATTCAGGCAAGAAATAAGCCAGAAAAATGAGCAAAACAACAATGACGACAGAGAACCTGACCATAAGAACCTACTATGGTGGCGGGGAAGACCGAGACATAAATGCAGAAGAAGATAAAATGTAAAAACAGCTACAAACAAAGCCTCAAAGAAAAATGCTAATTGAATCCAAGCCCAACAAGAACTCCTAGGACTAAAGAAAGAGATAAGAGTGGCTGAGGAAAAATTGGGAAAAGAAATGAGAGTAATGCTAGAAAATTATGAAAAGCGAATTAAGAGCTTGGTAAAAGAGGTGTGTGCGTGCATGCGTGCGCGCGCACACACACACACAATGTTGAAGAAAATACAGAATTGGCCAAATGGTAAAAGAGGCCCAAAAATCCATTGAAGAGAAGAACTTAAAAAGAAGAATAGGCCAAATAGAAAAGGAGGTACAAAAATTCACAGAAGAAAAGAACTCCTTAAAAACCAGAACTGATCAAATGGAAAAAGAGGTACAAAATCTCACTGAAGAAGATAATTCCTTAAAAATTAGAACTGAAAAAGTAGAAGCTAATTACTCCATGAGACGACGAGAAACAACAAAACAAAATCAAATGAATAAAAAAATAGAAGAAAATGTGAAATATCTCATTAGAAAAACAACTTACCTGAAAAATAGATTGAGGAGAAATAATTTGAGAATTATTGGACTATCTGAAAGCTATAACCAAAAAGAGAGCCTAGAATTTCAAGGGATGATAGAGGAAAACTTCCCTGATATCTTGGATCCAGAGGATAAAATAGAAATTAAAACAATCTACCTAAAAGAGATCCCAAAATGAAAACTCCCAGGAATATGACAGCCAAATTCCAGAGCTCCCAGGTCAAGGAGAAAATATTGCAAACAGCCAGAAACAATTTAAACATAGAGCCATAGTCAGGAAAACACAAAGATTTAGCAGCTTCCACATTAAAGGAGTGGAGGGCATGAAATAAGATATTCTGGAGGGCAAAGGAGCTAGGATTATAACCAAGAGACTCCTACCCAGCAAAACAGAGTATGATCCTTCATGGGGAAAAATGGACATTTAGGAGGATTTTCAAGTATTCCTGATGAAAAGACCAGAGATGAATAGAAAATCTGATATTCAAACACAAGACTCAAGAGAAGCATAAAAAGGTAAACAAGAAAGCGGAATCGTAAGTTAAACTGTTCACATTCCCGTATTGGAAGGGGGGGTGAGAAAGAGGGAGAGGGAGAATGGGGAGATTCTTCTCACATAAAAGCAGTGAGCAAACAAGTGGCTGGAGAAATTGGGGGGTGGGGACGGCAGACAACGCTTGGACCGCGCTCTCACCGGAACTGGCTCAGAGAGGAAAGAATACACATACACATACACTCAGTCGTGCACAGAGATGTAACTTACCCAACAGTGGAACAGGAGGGAAGACAACAAGAGAAAGAGAAGACAGATTAAGGGAGGCTGTGGTTAGAAGAAAAACAGACTTTGGAGGAGGGAGAGGACAAAAGAAAAAAGAAAGGAAAAAACAGTTCAAAATGGGATGGAGGCAAATACAGTTAGGAATCATGACTGCTCACCCATAAAGCGGAAGCAGAGAGCCAAACAGACTAGAAGCCAGAAGCCAAGGGGCACCAGTGTTGGGTCCTGAAGGCCACAGGCAGCCACTGCAGTTTACCCAATGGGAGGGTAACACAGTTGGACCTGCACTTTAGGAAAATCTCATTAGTGGCTGAATGGAGGATGGACCGGAGGGAGGAGACACTTGCGGCAGGCAGAGCCCCCAGCAGCTATTGCCGTAGTCCAGGCATGGGGTGATAAGGGTCTGCAGCAGTGTGGGGGCTGCGTCAGAGGAGAGAAGGGGGCATATTCGAGAAATGTGGCAAAGGTGAAGTCAACAGGCCTTGGTGCCATACTGGATCAGGAGGTGAGAGATGGTGACGAGTCCAGGACGACTCCTAAGGTGTGAGTCTGAGGTCCGGGAGGAGGGTGGGGTCCCCTATAGTGATAGGGATGGTAGGAAGGGGGAAGGTTTAGGAGGGAAGATAATGAGTTCACTTTCGGACATACTGAGTTTAAGATGTCTACTGAACACTCAATTTGAGATGTATGAAAGGCAACTGGAGATGGGGCACCGGAGGTCAACAGAGATATTGGGGCAGGAAAAGTAGATTTGAGAATCTTCAGCTTAGAAATGGTAATTAAATCCATGGGAGCTGATGAGATCCCCAAGAGAAGGAGGACAGAGGGAGAAGAGAAGAGGGCCCAGGACAGCACCCTGATGGACACCTGGTTAGAGGGGATGATCTGGAGGAGGATCCAGCAAAGGAAACAGAGAGGGAAGAGAAGAAGAACCAGGGAAACCCAAGGAGTAGACATTGTCAACGAGGAGAAAGTTATCCACAGGGCCAAAGGCTACAAAGAGGTCAAGGGGAACGGAGACTTAGAAAAGGCCAGCGGATTTCAACGCTTGTTGACTTAACTTAAAAATTTTGCTGCTGTATCTTTTGCATTTATGTCACCTCTGCTCCCAAATGCATCCCTCCCCTCACCTGTCATGCCCGAGAAAGCCATCCCCACTAATAAAGAATAAAAAAGAGAAAAAAGAAAACAGTTCCGTGACCCTAACCAACGTATCTGCTAAGCTTGGCAATGTACCCAGTGTTCTGCACCCACCAAGAAGGGGCTGCTTCCTCTCCTCTCTTTCTTAGGCCCAAGCTTGATCATTGTGGTTACAGAGCATTTTCCGCTTAGTTCTGTGCACGATTGACCTCATTTTCTCTAGGCCCGTAAGTTGTGCCACGCTTCTCTGCGTCCTTCATATTTAATATTTTTATGCATTACTATCCCATCACATTCATTTACTACAACTTGTTTGGCAACTCCTGAATCAATGGCCATCTACTCTGTGTCCAGTTCCCCAAAAAGTTGCTATAAATACAGGGCCTCCCTCTCTCGGCGTGACCTCCTTGAGGCTTGTGTCAGTAGAGGGATCTCTGGTTCAAAGGGTACGGACGTTTTGGTCATCTTCTCTGCGTGATTTCACATCCCTTTCCAGAATGGTTGGACAAATACCAATCTCGCATCTCTAATGGTCTTTCAGACATCTTGAACTGGATGTCCAGGAAAGACCTTATACACAACATGTCCAAAATGGAACTCATTCTCTTTTGCCCTAAACCCTCCCAGCTCCTACCTTGCCTGTTACTGTAGAGGGCAACACCACCCACCCCATGTCTCAGGCTCCCAACCTAGGAGTCATGCTCAGCTCCTCCCTATTGCTCAACCTCTAGATGCAATCAACTGCCAAGGCCAGCTGATTACAGCTTTGCAGCAGCTCTCAGATGTGCCCCTTCCTCAGCTTTGCCACCACCATCACCCTGGTGCAGACCCTCATCATTACCCGCCCAGACTATGGCAATAGCTGCTGGGAGGTCTGCCCACCTTGCAGTCTCCTCCCACTCCAGTCCAGCCTCCATCCAGACACAAAAGAGATTTTCCGAAAGCTCAGAGGGGCCCATGTCACCCTGTCCCCACCCCACCCACTCAATAAAATCCAGCAGCTCCCTATGGCCTTCTCTGTTTGGCCATCAAAGTCCTTCCAAACCCAGCCCCCTCTCATCTCTGTGATCTTCTGGCCCCTCCCCGCCCCCCCTACTCTGCAATCCAGCTACACCGGCTTCCTTTGTACAAGACACCCTCTCCTGCCTCCCTGTGCTGTCTGCACCCAGGCCTGGAACACTCTTCTTCCTACCCTCTGCCTGCTGGCTTCCGTGGGCTCCTTCCAAGACAGCTGGAATCCCACTTCCCATGGGACGCCTTTCACAATCCCTGGAAACCACTTCCCGTTGACTCCGCATAGATCCTGTTTGTATGTAATTGTTTACATGTCTCCTCCCCATCAGACCATGAGCTCCTTAAGGGCAGGGACTGCTTCCCAGCATTGAGCATGGTGCCTGGCACACAGCAGGCACTGACTGAAGGCGCACAGACCACCCAAGTGATGCCCCCGGCTGCTCACAATTCCCATACACTGACACACACAGACCCAAAGAAACACTACCACTGTATATATGCTCACAGCCCCCATGCAGACCTATAGACACATTACCTCTATCTGTTCATCTATGATTCTTTGTAAAACCACCCGTGGACCTGGTTTCCCCCTGAACAGAATGGAATCTCCCGAAAGGCAGGGAGTGTTTCCTTCGGCCTCTGTCCCCAGCACCCTGCTCGGTGCCTGGAGTGAGAGAATGCCCAACAGATGCTGGCTGGTCATTTTCCACCATCATCTCTGATTTTAAGGGAAGTTGGACTCATTCAGTAATAACTCTGGGGGTCTCGAGGAGCTGGTCCTCAGAGACCTCTCTGGCTGTTACCTCCTTCCTCTCGGCCTCGGCCTGACCTCTGGCTTGTGCTGTGGCGGCCTCTCGGTACGAGCTGGCCTGCTTGGCCTGTTCGAACAGGGTCTTCAGCTGCTGGGCCGTGCTCAGCAGAGAGTTGACCATCTCTTCCAGGCACAACCAGCTCCGATGCTCGGTCATCTCCAGTCCGTGGATCATGGCAGGCGGTATGGCTTTGGCGGGGGTCGCAGGCGGGACCGCCAGAGCAGGCAAGGACGTCAGCACTGAAAACAGCAGAAGCAAAACAAACCACAGAGGAATCAATGAGATTCTCCATTCAAAACGCCCTCTGAAACAAATCAATCTGACCCAGAAGGACTGAGTCTGCCCGAGGGGGACATGCCACCATGTGGAAGGCTGGGCATCCCCCATGGGCAACGATACCATCCTCAGCAGCCAGCAGACCAGGGACCAGAGGGCTCAGAGGGGGTCAGTTGTGACGACGGGGAGCTGGCCCCTGCCGGCACCTGTCAGGACGGCTCCTTCTCCTCCTGGTTGGCACCGTCAGCAGTCCGGGGAGACTGGGACGGTGTCTCTGCTTTGGGGCAGAACTTCTCCGCTTTGTCAGACCCTCAGCACCAGGACAGGTCAGAGGCCTGCCTGGGAGCACCGCGGGTCATTCAGTCACACCTGGGGGAAACCCCTGAACGTCCCCATGGCCCACAACCAGAGGAGTATCTCTAAGGAACCCTTGGATATTTCTGGATAGGGAAGTGTTTTAGGGATATCAATGTGGGGGTCCCACATAGGATGGGTGGAGGAGGGGATATCAGAAGCAAGGAGACCAATCAGAAGGCCCTGCCATGGCCCAGCTCCGAGGGGCCCTAGAGAAGGTGAGATCCACAAGACTGGACGACTGAGTCAATGGGGGGAGGGGGAGAGCAAATCCTGCTGTAAACACCCATGATCACTCAGTCAGTCACTTGGAGGCTGTGCACTGAGCTGAGCCAGGCGCCAGGGGCCTGGTACAAGCCACGATGACGCCCTCATGGGCAAGCTGCCAATCTTCTCATCTGAAACAAATGTGACCGCCACCAGGGGTTTACCAGCCCCGTGACAGTGACGAGGCGCAGGATCTTGGTGACAAAGGTTATCTCTGAGAGCAGAAGAGGGCATGGGAGTGGGACGTGGGCGACGGGTGGGCCAGGCAGATGCAGGAGGCCAAACACGAGGCGAGAGGCACAGGAGAAAGGGGTCCGAATGGGCACGGGTTCCTGCAGAGGAGAAGGAGAAGGTCGCCCTGTTGGACCCTCGCTGATGGGCTCCTGGCCTCCTGGCCAAGACGGGAGCCTCTGGCCTGAACAGGGACACAGACTGGCCATTCCACTTGCCCAAACAAGTCCAAGGACAAACCACAGCAAGTGACCTCTTCTACCCCAGAAGGGCCCAAGTCAGCCCCAAGGCCTTGGGCAATGGTAAAGCAGGGTCAGCATCAGCGCAGGCAGACCTCCCCAGCCCCTGCTACCACAGCTCTAAGGGAGTGGGGGTGGGGAGCCCGGCCAGCCATCCAGATCCAGAGCTCTGAATCTCAGTAATCCGGGGAGGCCCCAACCCAGGAGGTGGAGAGCAACACAGGGACCCATCAGACCCAGGGCAAAGGGCAAGGGCAACCACTCCACTCAAAAGCACACCGTGCTAGCCCTGGCACAAAACTCCAATGCAACAAGTAAATCTAAGGAAAAAACCAACCAAGGTAAAAATTATTCTAGGTCTAGAGATTCCCCAAAAAGAGTCTCCATAAAGGCCACATGAAGGCATAGAAATGAAGTAGGGGAGGGGGGGAGAGGGAGGAGGGAGAGGGGGGCAGGTTCTAGACTTGGAAAGAGAGTAAACAGCTTGGAAGAGAAAGTGCTAAGCCTTACTTACCCCGTGGTCTCCCTGAAAACTTGAACAGACCAAACATTAAGTAGCGACTCCAAGAGACAGCAAGAAAGATGAGAACAAAATCAAAGGACTGAGAAAAATAGAAGACTCATGTCAAAAAATAACTAACTCAGAAGTCAGCACTCAAAGAGAACAGAAGCATCAGTGGGCTTTCTGAAGACTATGATTTTCTGAAAGCCTGGACACCATGTTTCTAGAAATCATAAGTGAAAACATCCCAGATCAATTGGAACCACTGGGCAGAGTAGGGAAAAAAAAAAAAAAAAAGACTCCACCAATCACCTCCTGAAGGAAACCTCAAGGGGAAGGTCCTACTTCGAACACAACATTCTCACATCAAAGAAAAGCCTGCAGCCTCCAAAAAGAATCATTCAAATATCGAGTAACCACAGAACTTGGCAGCTTCTACCATTCCCAAGTGGAGATCACGGAATACAATATTCTGAAAGGCTTACAACTAAGAAGAATGACCTGCTGAGGATTACCCAACGGGAGAAAAATGGCCTTTAAAGGCAAGGAGGCCTGCCAAGTATTTCTGATGAAAAGACCAGAGTGAGTAGGAACTCTGAAATACAAACACAAGACTCCAGAGAAACCTAGAAAGGGAATTTTAACTGAGCGGCTGGAAAGGGTTGTAAGATGATGCCCGTGAGCACTGCCACGGGGGAGAAGAAACATGAGTCCCTTCAGAACCTCCATGTCTTCAAAGGGTACTGAGAGAGAGGTCTCCAAGGGGATAGGTCTGTTTTAAGGGTTTTAGAAGGTGAGAGAGAAGGGAGAGTAAAGGGAGGAAGAAGGGGTGGAGGGAGCGGGCACCAAGCAGACAAAGGAGGGCTGGATATACAGAGACACACAAGCAGCTTCATGTAGAAACACCATCAAACAAAGGAGAGACAGGAGGAAACAGCCACAAGCAAAATAAACCTTCTGAGGCTGAGGAGAGAGGGGGTGGGAGGGAAATCAGAAATCTAGCATCTGGGAGGGTCTGAGGGTACACTGGGAGAGATCCTAGCAGGCAATTAGCAATCTGGAGCCGGACACGGGGAGTGACATCAGGTTTAAAGGGCGGCTACGTTCCTGCCCCACGTACAAGAGGTACACACAGGGATGTCACCGTGCCACGAGGAACAGCAAATGAGACGATGTCTGAATTGATGCAGGGAGAAGGAGCAGAGTCTTTAAGATGGACTCAAGCACCTTCTCACCACCCCAGCCCAGCAGGTCCTGATCAGGAGGGGAGGGACTCAGGCTCAGGGATACATGGCTACTCTGCAGACTCACCGTGTTCGACCGTCTCCCTTCTAAGGGTTTTTTAAATTCTTCCTCTCTCTGTTTTTAATTGGAGGAAGGGGCCTGAGGGTCACCAAAACCTTTTTAAATGCTTAGGAGAGAAAGAGTACGAGGGAGCACAGGCAAGAAGGACAGTTTTGAAAGCAACATGTGGAATTATTACAAGCACTTTTCCTTTTTTTTAAGATTCATGGTTTCACAGACAAGAAAAAGCTTTTATAGTGGAGGGGAAGTGGGGGAAGATGAGAGGGAATGAGTGAATCTTATTCTCATAGGATTTAGCTTAAGGAGGAAATACCATACACACTCAATTGGGTATGGAAAGCTATCTTACCCTACAGTAAAATAGGGGGAAAGGGCATAAGAGGGGGATGATAGAGGGGAGGACAGATTGGGGGAGGGGGTAATCAGACGCAAACATTTCTGAGGAGGGATAGGGTCAAACAAGAGAATAGAATAAACAGGGGGCAGGATAGGATGAAGGGAAATATACTTAGTTTTCCCCAGCATGACTACTTTGAAGTGTTTTGTATGACTACACATGTATAACCTGTATTGAGTTGCTTGCCTTCTCAATGAGGGTGGGTGGGGAGGGAGGAAGGGAGAAAATTTGGAACCCAAAGTTTTAAAAACACATGTTAAAAATTGTTTTCATATGCAACTAGGAAATAAAATATACAGGCAATGGGGTATAGAAATCTATCCTGCCCTACAGGATAATAGAAGGAGAAGGGGATAAGAGAAGGGGGGCGGGAGATAGAAGGGAAGGCAGATTAGGGGAAAGGGTATTCAGAATGCATGCTGTCTTGGGGTTGGGGGAGGGACAAGATGGGGAGAAAATTTAGAACTCAAAATCTTGTGGAAGTGAATGTTGAAAACTAAAAATAAATAAATTAATGAATCTTAAAAATAAAATCAAATCAAACAAATGCTCAAAAAAAGATTCAAGGTTTCAGTTACAATCTTCTTCTTGTGATCTGCTATTTATACGGAAATGCTCTTTGAGCAAATTTGGACTAAAAATAAGGACCTGAACCTCAATGCCACGTCAGGAACCCCCGTGAGCAAGGCAGGAAGGGCAGAGCGGCACCCTGAGCCAAGGACTTGGACACCCATGGGGGGGTCACCCCTCCCTCCACCTCTTATTGGCGGTTGTGCACGGTAACAGCAACACTGTTGGATGGGGAACTGGGAATGACTCAGCTCTTCTCAGCAATCCACAATCAAGACAATCCCAAAGCACCAGTGAAGAAGCCGACTTTGACTCCAGAGAGAACCGATACCATCTGAACCCAGACTGAAGATGCCACTCCCATGTTCTTTCATTTTTTTCTTTTAGTTGAGTCTTTTTGTACAAAATGACTAATATGGAAATGCTTTACACAACTACATATGTATAACCTATATTTGATTACTTACTGTTTCGGGGCAGAGGAGGGGAGGGAGGGAAGGAGGGATAAAATTTGGAACTCAAAACTTTAAAAATTTTTAACATGTAATTGGGGAGAAAATAAAATATATCAAAAAATAAAAAAGGAGGAGGCAGTCAGATGCCCGAAGGTGCCTTCCAGCTTTCCATCTATAGTTTCAAATCCTGCTCCTGACCCCTCCCGGCTGCGTGATGCCGGGCAAGTGACCTAACCTTTCTGTACCCGAGGCCCCTGTCTGGGATGCTGAATCTGACCAAAGGAAGGAGAGATCCAGACAAAGTACTGGGAAACCACAGCGGGCAGTGGAGTTGGCCTCTGGTCGGCCATCAGACTGCCCACACTTCTTTTCTTGGTGGAAGCTGGGGCTGACACGTGAGAGGGAAGCCCCTGGCCCACAGCAGGTGCTTAACAATGTTTACCAAACTGAATTACCCTAGAAAGCAAACAACAGAACACCAGCTTAAAGGGGCTCAGACTCAGACTGGAGTTTGGAAGAAAGAAACACGAAAGGCAGACCTGCATCTCCCCAGCCACCGATAAGAATGCAGTTCTGCCTTGTCAGGGAACAAAACCCACACAAAGCTGGGCCGGGGGGAGGGGGGGTCTGTCCCAGGCCCTCTTCTCTCTCGGGGACCTCACGCGCTCCCATGGGTCACAGGTGACACTGCCACAAGTAGCGCCTCCTGTTCTCCCCAGACTTCCCTAATTCTGTTCTGTCCCCCATCAGCGAGGTCACCCGCTGGATGGCTGGGGGAGGTCCCCCCACGGACTACTCTGTCTACCATTGACCCCTCACCTTCCCCAGCTTCCCTGCTGCCTGTCCCTCCTTTCTACTCCCACAGGACTTCTTTAAAAAAGTAGCTTCGTGGAGAACTTCTATCTTTCCAGCACTCACAGGTCCCACTGTATCCCTCCACATTCCTCCCTGAGAGGTCTGCCAAGAGTGAGAGGGTATGCAGCATTCTGCAGCCACGGGCCCCTACCTCTGCAGAGAAGGAAAGTGAGAAAATCGGCTGAGACTAGATCTGTCCAACACTTTGGCTCAAGACGCCAAAGAAACCTTCCAAGGGAGCCAGATCAGAAGATTCACGTGAGCACCTTCCTCTCCCCGGACCCCTCAAGTACCCCGTGTGTCCTACATGGAGGCTGCCTCTGCACTGCCACACACCTCACATGGATGACTCACTGCCCTCCTTCTGGACCATTTCAGTCCTGGGATCGCTCTTTGCTGGGCGGTGCTCGGCACCTCAGAGTCTGGACCACCTGATGGCCCCAGGCGCCTGGCCCAGAAGGGGCTCAGCCTTCCCCCATCGCTGGCGCGGAAGCTGAGGGCACTGAAGTCCGGCTGGCACAGCGCCTGGCAATGTCAACTACAGCAGACTGCTGAAGCGCTCCTGTGCGCCACGTCCTGGGCTGAGACCACGCTGGTCATCCCCGGAGCCTTTCAGGTGGCAGCTGGGGACCAACCCTTTCTCTTCTCATTTCTGGCGGCTTCCCTTCTCATTGGAGTGACCCATCTCTTCTCCCACCCTGGGCTCTTGTTACCTGTACCACTCAGACGCCATGGCGAGGGGACGAGCTGGCAAGGTGGACCTGAGTTCAAATCCGGCCTCAGACACTCCCTGGCTGTGGGACCCTGGGCAAGTCATTTCACCTGTTTGCCTCAGTTACCTCAAGCGCAAACTGAGGATACTAAGAGCACCTCTCTCCCAGGGCTGTTGAGAATATCAAATGGTACACTATTTGTATAAATATTTACTCAGCATGGTAGGTGCTTAATAAATGCTTGTTCCCTTCCTCTGCCATGGGGATGGGATGGGTGTGTATTCCCCAAGACTGTGTCAGTGGAACAGAGCCTTGGGACAGTCTGTGTGTCAGCCCTAAGAAGACCTGGCTACGTTTGGGGAGGACCATCATGGGGGAAGCCGCTGTGGCTGCCATTCAGGCTGCATGAGCAGGAGAAGCATCCACCCCCATCACACCCTGGGGCCTGGGTAGCTCTTGCAGAGGGGTCACTTAAAAAGAGGCGCGCATATTCATGACGAGCAAACTAGACTCCCACCTGCCGGCCCACTCGGCCCACTCGGCAGAATCCAACAGAAACCCCTCAGGGCAGAAGAGATATTAAGCAGATGGTGACTGCCTCTCTGCTCATCTCCCACCCAAGCAAAGGGGCAGCAGCAGCCTCTGGAGCTGCATGGGTCCTCTTGGGGACCCAAGGGACATCCCGGGGGACACTGGGTCCCTTGGGGAGGGGCCCCGAAGAGCTGCACAGGTGAGGGGGGGGTCCTCCAGGGACGGAGAGCGCACTGCATGGGAGCAAAGACTCCTGCCGTGTGAGCAGGTCGGCACCAGCACCACCGTGGTTGGGTGACCACGAGTACTGTGGCAGGAGGAAGGGTTTTAGGAGCCAAACAGGGAAGTCTGCTGTTGACCCCTGAGGCAGCTGGGAGGCCCCGGGGTCTGCAATGGGGGGAGCAGGAAGCTTTGCTTTTGATTACTAAGGGGACGGTGGCTGGGAGAGACAGGGAGACCCAGCAGCTGCTCTGGGAACAGAGAGGAGGGTGGAGGAAAGAGCGGCAGAAAGCAGGGATGACGCTGGGGGGGCTCCAATGCTCAGCCATCCCGTACGACACGCCACTTTCTGGTGGACCCCAGAAAACACGGCTGCCCCGAGAACCAGCCTGGCTGTGGCTGTGGGAAGCCCAGGAGGAGACACCATTGAGCAGGCCCAGCATCCGATGCAGACACCAGGGCCCCTTCTATGCTCCCACAATGAAATCTTACCGTTCAAAAAGAATTCTAAGCCTTCTAATATTTTTTAACCTTTTCATATCTGTATGTATGCCAACAAAAAATTAAACAATAAAATCCCCATGGAAGGAGGACCATCTTCTTGCCTCTCTCTGGGCCTTACTGTTTCACAGAGAAAACACAAATGCTGTCCCTTCCATCACAAACCCAGCCTCAGGGGAGCCCTGGAAACTTACCGATTTTGGGATGAGACGTAGGCAAGGCAGCTTCTGGAAATGGCGAGATCGGGCAGTTGTCCTGATAGCTGGGATAATGAGGCTCCGGATGACCGACCCTGCAAGACGGCTGCACGTTGCTGTCTTGTACTAGTGGACAACAAGGGGGTTATCAGTCTCCATGTTCTAAACCTGATATGACCTCAATCTATGAAAATAACCTGAGGATTGCATGTTATTGAACTCGGTCTTCTAAAGCAGATTCTTGGAGACAGTGAGGAAGGGCAGGGAGCGTTTAGGTTGTATCAAAATAAAACCTCATTAACCTACAGGGTCTTCCTTTTTGTCACTGATGTCCGTCACAGATGGGGCCTGCAGGGGATCAGGGGATCAACGGGTCTGACCACTTTAGGGACCTATCCGTGGCTCCGTCTGACCGCTGCGGCCCGTGGTTCCCCAAGCCCATCCATGCAGGCCAGTCTGGCGTTCTCCTTCTCAGAACCCCTGGCTTCTGTCCTCCACTGTCTCCCCAGATGAGCAAGGCTCCTGGCTTCATACCCTCGCATCCACCTTCTTCACATCTCTGACATCAGACTCAACGCCGGACCTCTCTCTTCTCATTACATTCTACTGATTCTGTCTGTGCGTTTTAGCCGTGTGCAGCTTCCTGCTCGTTCTGTCTTCTGATGACGTCGACGCTCGGTTTTGGGTACGCAGCCTCCCCGAGCCGTTCTGGGGACTCTTCCCTGACACACGGATGATGGGCCAACCCTGCGCACTCCCTGAAGGTCTGAGCACATCTTCTCTCACGCCAGAGGGGCATCTTCCTGAGCGCTGCTGCCTTCCCAAGGACTGACCTCCTCACTAGCTGTAATGCAGTGTCCAAGAGGTGGGATGATTCCTTCGGTCGATGCAGCCGCAAGTTGGGGAATGCTCTGCCCCTCCAGTCTTGCATTGTGCTCATGATTTCTCTTGTACTGATTTTGCTAATGGGCCGAATTCTGTAAAAAACTGCTCCTTGGCATGTTAGTTTGAGAGGGCCTGAAGGCTACTGGTTAGTTTGGATGGTGTGGTCATCCTTCTTAGATTCAAGTTGGGGGGCTGCTGAAGTCCTTTCCATCTCCCAAATTCTGCAGTTCTATGATACTGGCTCAGCCCAACCATGAACAGTGACTATCTCTCCAATTATATGTAATTCTCTTTTTATTCTGTAAAAAGTGTCATCATTTTATTTATTTAGGCCATGTATCTTGTTCAGTTAGCTCCCATTTATGCATTTTATAATTGTTTTGAATGCAACCGCCCTATGACTTCCTGGTTTTTTGTTAGTACTGTATAGAAATGCTGATTTGTTGTGGATTTCTTTTTCGTTGTTACTTACTGAAGCTCTTGGCCATCTGAATTAATTTCTTCATTGATTCTCTGGAGTCGCCTAAGTATTATTTCATATTGCTTCTATTTTCTCTTTCTTGTCATTGCTATAACTATCATTTCTAAAATTGCATTAAACAAAGCATAATAAATGAGAGGTAGCATACGGGGACAGCTAGGTGGCACAGTGGATATAGCACTGAGCCTAGAGTCAGGAAGACTGGAGTTCAAATCCAGTCTCAGACAACTGGTAGTTGTGTGACCCCGGATAAGACACTTAGCCTCTGTATTCCTCAGCTTCCTCACCTGTAAAATGAGGATGATAACCTCCTAGGATTATTTTAAGGATCAAATGAGATAATAATTGTAAAGCACTTAGCATAGTACCTGGGCATAATATAAACGTTAGCTATTATTATTGTTTCCATTTTTATTTATACTGTAATAGGAAGACTGCTCAACTTGGAGTCAATGGACCAGAGTTAAAATCTGGGCTTTGCCACGTAAAACCCGCACGACCTCAAGCAAGTCCCTTAGCCTTTCAAGTCCTCAGTTTCTTTGTCTATAAAAAGAGGAAGTAGGACTAGACATCTTCTAAGGTCTCTTCCAACTCCAGATCTGGTTCAATGATCCTACTATTAGGGAAAGACAATGTTTGTTTGACTCCTCTACCTATGGCAAAGTTTCCAGTGTTTCTCTATTACAAATAACATTCACCTTGGTTTTAGCGAGCTATTTAACATTAATATTAAATAATATGAAACCTTAGCCCTTCTATGCCTAAGGTTTTTTGAATTTTTCACATAAATGGCTACTATAGTCTTTTACCAAAATTTGTTTCTTCATTTATAATCATGTGATTTCTGCTGCTTAAATGACGAATTATGTTAACTTTGTCCTGAATGTTGAGCCGTTTTGACTTCCCTAGCATAAATCCGACTTTCTCACAGTAAATAATTTTGGGAACATAGTGTCTTGGCTAAGATCTTATTTAAAGCGTTCCTCCATATATTCATTAATGAGACGGGTCTATAGATCTCTTTCTTGCAGGTCTGGGTGTCAGTACCATGTTTATCTCATGAAGGCAGTTTGGCAGAGTGCTTCCTTTCTCAATTACTGAGAATCGCTGTAATTTAAACGTACACTGCTCTTAAAATGATCTCTCAATAACAAAATCCGACGACTTTTTCTCATTTTTCATTCCACTTCACCACACCACAACTTGTGACAATAGTAACCACGCCTCCCTCCCAGACGTTTTTCTCTCGGCTTTTGTGACCCTGCACTTCACCAGCTCTCCCCTTCCTGCATTCCCTATTCTTCAGACACACAGACCTGCTTCCCGACCTCCACATTCCGCCTCCTATCTCTAAGAGGCTGGAAAGCACTCCTTCCTCACCTGGGCCTGTTGGGAATCAGGGAGGCCCTCAAAGCTCTGCTGGGATGCTCCCTTCCCAGTCCCTACAGCTGTGCGTACTCTCTCCCTGCAAGGGGCAGTGGTTTACTGGGACACAGACCACCTGCCCCATCCAAGTAGAAGACAAACTCCCTCCATCCCCAGTGCATTACCACTGACTCCAGGAGGTGCCTTATTAAAAACTGTGTAAGGAATGAACAGAAAATACATGTGAAGGTTTTGACTTCTCCAGACTAAATGGGGCAGGGTTGATCCTTCCAGATGTTATTTTTCTAACGCCACAGCTCCCCTACTTCTGATCAAGTATTTCCATACAGTTGTTTATAGGGATGCCTATGGTCTTGCCTAATAAGGATTACTCCTTAGAAGTGGACTAAATAAATGTCCCGATAGACGCTTGCTCGATACTGAGACAATGCTGAGTTCAGACAAATTACCAGTTGCTCCGGTGAAGACATCCCCCTGGGCTGGACTTTCTGAGATGATAGCTGTGGCCTCCACAGTCGATGCCCGGTCAAAGGTCAGAGTGCCAGAGGTAGTGAGCTGTCCAGAAGGAGTCACGGTAACTGGGAAGATCAGAAGCGTCTTTCTTATCACTGGTGCTCAAAGCAAGGCCCTGTTCCCTATCATTAACGGATACCCCCAAACCATCGGCAGGTCGCTAAACAGAGGCAAGGGAAACGATTCCAGCCAACACGGAGGAAGAGGAGGAAACCCTGGCCGCAGTTAAAGGGTCAGCTTCCCCCAGAGGCTGAGCTGGCCCCTGGGACCCAGAGGAATGGCTGACCACTAGCCGGGACCCGCCCAGCCCTCTCTCCCAACAACTTCCCGCCCGTCCCCCCCGCGGGCTCCTCTCTTGGTCTGTCTCCGTAGAAGAGCATGGCAGAAGCCCCATGAGAGGGCTCCACAGCTGGGGATGGCAGACAAGTGCTCTGGCCAACAGGGAAAAGGGAGCTCCTGGATCCTGAGGGCTTACAGGTCGTGGTGGCCGTGGCTGGAAGCAAGGGGATGTTCTTGGAGGAATCCTTCTTCACGGGAGTCGTCGGCATCTCGCTTTCCTTCTTTCGCCTTTTGTAGGGAACGAACAATCTGACCGGGCCGCTCTGGGGAAAGGGAAAATCTACTCTGAGAAGACTGGTTTTTTGGGAGGGTGGGCCTCCCAGAAGGTGCATGAACATCATGGCTCCTCCATGCAGCAAGTTTTGTTACCCCCTTTCAGAGAGGACAAAACTGAGACTCCAGAGAGGTCGAGGGACTTGCCCAAGGTCACTGTGAGACGTGTCTAGGACAGGGGAAGGGAGAAACCCCAGAATCTCCAGTGGACAGAGCAGAGCGGCCCCAGGCTTCGATCACGGGGACGTTCTTCATGGGACCCACGTCGGCAGGGGCCGAGGAGGGCCCGGCCGGCCGCCAGATGGCTTACACAGAGTTTTAAGTGCCACCAGTGCTCCGCAGAGGTGACAGCCTAGACAGCCACGCCCTGGCGAGCCTGAGAGCCCTCCTCACTGCTGCCTGCTTCCACCCCCCCCAGGACAGCTGGTTCCATGTCCCTGACACTGCCTGTCTCGCCCAACCCTTGCCATGTCTTCCCTAAGACGAACATGACAGGTCATGTTGGACAGTGGCTACCATCTGGCGCCCTGCCCTGAGTTCGGCGGGGCGGGGGGAAGAGTCACAGCTGCCTGGCCAGCCCCTCCAGTGTACAGAGCGAGCGAGCCTTGTTTTCCAAGTCTTTGTTATAAGGGATGGCCTGTGGAAGGGGGGACGGAGCAAAAACGCCCTCCCCCTCCAAGAAAGGAAACGCCAGCCTCCAGGGACAGCGTGGAACGGCTTCTGCCACCTGGTGAGGGGCCCCCAGGATAAGCAGCAGGCTGGGCTATCCCTCCCCATGTGTCCTCCAGGCACAGCTGCGGACTTACCAAGGTCATGTCGTCACAGCAGGCGGCACATGTACAAGAGGCGGCGTGAGGGTTCAGGATGCCGTCCTGCAGGGGGAGAACAGTGAACACAGGGTGAGGCCCGCCACTGCTGCGGCGGCCCAGCCGGGTCACTCAGACACAGGCGGAGCCCCAGAGCGTCTAGAGTCTAGAGACAGATGGGAGGCGCGTCTGCCCTGAGAGTTCCCCACACAGATTTCTGGCCCAGAGAAAAAGAACAGTCCCTGCCCGCCCTTCAGGAGCTTCCATTCTGGGCCCCATCCCATACAGCCGCCCCTGGGCTGCTGGGAGCCTGCCCAGGGACAGAATCAGGGGAGGTGGGGCAGGAGGGAAAGCACTCCAGGCAGGGGGTCAGTCTATGCAAAGGCATGGAGGTGGGAAATGGGGCAGCTAGCAGGCCAGGCTGGCAGAGATGGAGACAAGGAATTCGAATGAGCTTCCTAAACAGGCAGAGAAGAACCCCTGGCCAGCTCTCAGGGACAGCCGGGCAATGTGAGCTGAGCCTTCAAGGAAGCCAAGAACTCCCAAAGGCAAGGGGAGAGGAGATACTCCACAGAGGCAGGAGATGAGGAGGCCCCAAATTCTGAAAGGCAAGAAATCTACACATGTCCCTAAAGGGACAGTCAAGGATGTAGTAGCGCCCAAGAAGAGGCACAGGTGAGCAGAGAAGAGAACCGGGTTCATTCAGAAGGCTACTACTGTCTGAGCCATGAGTCATGAGGCCAGGGGCAGGGAATATGGTTAGAGGGAAAGGGGGTTGGGATGCTGATGATGGGGGAGGGGGACATGAAGGCAGGAGCAGGTGGCGAGAAGGGGGGGAGGTGTGGTTAGAGGGGAATGGAATAAAGAGGGAGGTGGGAGGCAGGGGGCAGGGATGGGGAACAGGGTCAGAGAAGGGGGGGCAGTGACGGTGGGGGAGGGGCTCAGAAGGGGAGGGGGCAGTGATGCTGGGGGAGGGGGTGAGAGGGGCAAGGGGCAGGGGACAGGAGGGAGACTTAAGGAGTGAAGGGAAGACTCGAGCAGCAGCTTCTCCCCAAGTTTGGAGGACGTCCCAGTGTGCTTTGCCCCTCCCTTGGCCCTCCTCCCTCAGAGGCCAAACTCAGTGACCTCTGTTTAGCACCTTTCTGGGGGTTTCTGCAGCTTCTGCCAGTGACGATGGTGCCCCTGGTATGAAGAAACGGAGGCCACCAGCGGTGGGACGGCTCGGCCTCACAGCCGGGGAGCATCCGAGACCACGTTCCACCTCCGGGCCCTCCTGAAGCTGCCTCAGTGGATGGCACTAGGCCCTGGCCCCTGCCCTCTGAGAAGTACCCAGGGGTCTGTGGCACGAGGCTGCTTGGGGCCCCAGCTGCTGGCCTAGCAGGGTGGGGCCAGACCCTCCAGGGGGCGCCTACTGGCTGGTCAGTGAGGATGCTTGTTCCCAGGCACAGGGAAAGGTCAGGTCACCTCCTCCATGACGCTCTTCCTGTGTCCGTCCCTACTCCCAAGTCACCCTGCATCTGTCTGGTACCTACGGCCTCAAGCTGGCCAGAGGCCGGCCCACCTCGCCCAGCCCACTGACTGTCCTTGCCCCACTCCACCCTCCTGACGCAAGGCTGGGGCCTCATCAGCGCCCACCACCCTGCGTCCTACCGCCCAAGGAAGCAGGAGGGAGGCGTGGCGGAATCTGGGCACAGGCCCCTGGGGGATGGGAGAGGGAGATGGGGCTGGCCAAGGTCTTTCACAAATAAGGGAATGTAGGGTCGACCCCTCCTTCCAAGGGGGCCCTGACCCTCACGGACCTGTCCAGTCCCTAAGGACGGCACAAGGCCTCCAGCCTCCGGACCTCAGGGCCCCTGGTCAGTGCACGTGCTGCCGCACACAGGGCCCCAAGAGCACAGAGAAAGCCCGGCGTCACCTGGATGAGGCACTGCAGCGGCCGCCCAGCGTAGCGGATGCTCCTCTTCCAGTCCTTGCTGCTGGCCCTGCCCGCCATGGCCTCAAACTCCGTGGGGCTGTACCAGTTCTCGCCCTGTTTAATGCAGCGGCCGCGCCCACCTATGAGGTAAAGGGACGTCAGCCCCTCCCCCGGCTGATGGAGGCAGGCACCCTAGAAGGCCCTGGTGCAGACACGCGGGCACATGTCAGGGAGGAGTGGGGACTTCTCTGCTGTGCCCGTCCTCCTGGGGACAGCCCGGACCTGAAAGGATGTGATTTCCTCCATCAGCGGGGCGGGGGGAACGGGGTGGACAGGCAGAATCTGAGACCAGGACCCCTCCTGGAGGCTGGGCCTGTGCTGGGGCTCACCACAAGGGCAGAAATCACGCCGTCCCTCAGAAAGCAGTGGCTGGACCCCCGAACAAGGCACCCATCCACACCATACGCACCCAGCTGGCTGCCCACCATCGCTCACACGCATACATGTGTACACGCATGCGCACACACCCTCACACACCCACATGTACGTGCACACCCTTGCACACTCATGTGCAATATACACATACATGTTCGCAGATATGTACACACCCACATGTGAACACGCCTCTGCACGCACGTGTGCTCACACACATGTGCGTGCATGCTCACGCACACACATGCACATGCTCGCACACATGTACATGCATACACCCTCACACACGCTCGCATGCTCACGCACAGCTGTACACACATGTGCACACCCTCACACATACACAACCACAGATTCACACAAAGCTCCATACATACACACACAGACACACACACACCTATGCTCACACAGCCACACACACACGTACACAATCACACAGTGCTCACACACAGCCCCACACGTACACACACATGCGTGCACATATGTACATGCACACAATGTGCGCCCTGTGCACACATATAGCCCCACACACGCACTCATACACACCCATGAGCACACAGACCCACACATTACACATGCACAAATATGCACGCACGCACGCAGAAACATACCACACGTACTCACACACACACATGCTCACACACAGTCCCACACACGCACACCACACATGTGTCACACACATATGCATACACTCCTGACGTACTGAGCAGGATGGAGGGGGTGGGTGGTCCACACAACACGGCCCCACTAGTATCTACCTCCTGGGCTCTTCTCTTGACCTGGAAGGGTTGGCCTTTCAGCTGCCTGCAAAGCTTTTCAAAGCCCTCAGCAATCCTCCTTTCCTAAGAGCAGGAAAGCCACCCAGGGCATGGCCGGGGATGTGGGGGTCACCGGCACCAGGCAGCCCCCTCAGTTGAGGCTCAGCAGCCAATCCCAAGGCACAGTCACAGAACTGCTGCACAGGCTTCACACCCCACCCACCCCCTGCCCCCAACCCAGGCTCACCTGGGGCCCCCCATCCCCACACAAGAGAGACACAGGGTGGACAGGAGGCATGAGCAATGGTGGGGCCCAGGAAAGGCCTCTTGCAAGAAGGAAGTGCTGCAGGTATGAGGCCCAGAGACCCCCACCCAAGCAATGAGGCCGGAGAAGCCAGCTGGCCACGTGGAGGGGAAAGAAGTGGAAAAAGCCTGGAAGGGGAGGAAGGGGCCAGCCTGGGAGGGGCCTTGAAGGTCCAACACAAAGGCTGGTGTTTGATCCTCGAGGACCTTACTGCAGGGGCCAGGATGAAGTTGCTGAGGGATGACGGACTGGAGAGGAGAGAGGCCTGAGCCAGCAGACCCCCTCCCCTAGCACAGCAGGCCAACGCGAGAGTCCGGGAGCCGGCCAAGAGGTGTCGTAAAGGAAGAAACAAGTCCTGATGACTGACTGGACGTGGGGAGTGACAGGGAAGCCTGGGGTGACTCCTAGGCTGGGAGCATGGGAGGGGCCCCCACATGGTAATGGAACTCGAGGGGAAAAAACACAAGTCTGGCTTCAGACGTGCTGGATTTGAGATGAGAGGTCTGTGGGCGACGCAGGGTGAGGGGTCTGAGAGCCAGTCAAGAGACAGCTTGAGGCTGGAGAAACAGATCTGAGAATCACCCTTTAACTGAAGGGGCAGGGACCAGAGCAGAGGCCCAGGACAGGGACCAGAGCAGAGGCCCAGGACAGGGCCTGTGGTCAGAGGATGTGGCCTGGAGACAGAGAAGGGGTGGTTAGAGGGAGGAGGAGGGCCGGGGAAGGCACAGACTGAGCAGCCCAGCTCAGGCTCCCCCGACACCCTGCCCCTTACCTGCCCACCATGCCCCACTCACACCCAGGGACTATCACACCCTGGCTCTTGCCATCACCCCCCCAATGCTCTGCCACCCGGCAAGCCTGGCCCCTTCTGAGCGCTCTCGTGTGCCCTGGCTACACTCTCCTCCCTTCTCCAGCTCACCCTGAAGGTCAGCTCGGCTCGGGATCCCGTCCCGCTCTGCCCCCCGTCAGCCGAGCTAAAGGAAGTCCCTCCAGATCTGGGTCATCTGCCCTCTATCAAGGTATGCTTGGGTACCACAAGCAGCTTTGTCCTTCCCCAGCCTCTCAATCATGGACGTACCCATTCTTCGCTAAAAAAAAACTGAGGCCCTTTCACGACAGCTGAGCTCCCTGTTCTCTCTCCATCAGCCCGGCCTCAGGGGCCAAGCAAGCTCATCTCCCCATTCTCCCGGCTTTCCCACCTTTAAAAGTCCCTTCTTAGATGCTGGCATCCCTTTCCCCATCTAAGCTGCCAATTCTTGTCGCCCTTTCTCTCTGACTTTCTTTCCCTCCCTTCTCCATCTCACCCCTCGGTGGGTCAGCTCGGCATCCTATCCCCGGCCAAACCCCAACCCTCAGTCACAAGGGTCTGAACTAAGGGGCAGCCGTGCGTGAGCGGACAGGATGTGAAGAAAGTCCTGGCCAGATCTGCTCAGCCAATGAACCCGGGGCTGGGCAGTGGAAAGAGCACGTGAGGCCTCGAGGATGGCAGGACAGCACCAGGGCCCTCGACAGAAAAGGGGCCCCTTGGGATGAGGAGTCTGGGGAGCACTGGGATGTTTTTCATGTTGGGGTGCCTACAAACCAGCCAGGTGCAGCCTGGGGTTCAGGAGACAGAGGGAGGAAAGGGTCTCAAAGGGCACCCGCCCAGCCAAGGAGGAGGACGCCTAGGAGCGGGCGCCTGGGGGAGAAGTGACAGAAACTTTCTAAGGACAGGGAGCCCAGGCAGGGGGCTGGGGAAGCAGCGGCTACCAGGCGATGACAGTCCAGGACACCTCGGGAGCAGCAGGCCCTGCAAACAGGCCCAAACCCTGGGCCCTCCTCACCCCCATTGACCACTGTTCTCGCCTCCAGCTCAACCCCAGGAAGCAAGGTCTGGCAATGGCCTCTGGGGGTGCTAGCAACCTCTGGAAAATGTTCTTAACCCCAAATGCCGGGCCGTGACTGCAACGGTAGAGGTAGCGACTATGGGAAAGAGGCGTGGCGGACTGCTCTGCTGCTGGGCCCGGAAGGACCCGGGGGAGAGGCCTTCAGACTTGCAGCCACAACCCTTTCTCAGGACTCTCTCCCCCCAGTGCTTGGCACGAGGCTTGGCACAGAGTACGACTCCACAAGCACAGGAGCACCTACTGTGTGCCTGCCCTGGGCTGGGTGCTGAGGGGACCCCAGGAGGGGAGGAGCTTGGGGGGATCTCTTTGTCCCAGCTGGAGCAGGGGAAAAGAAGCTTCAGTAAAGTCAGAAGCGAGAAGAAAAGGGGGACCTGGGGGAAAGTGTGGATGAGCAACTTAGGAGAACTGGAGAGACAGCTGGCCAAAGGGAAGGCCTGGACAGGGAGGACCCCGCTGCTATTGGAGGAGGCTGGAGAGAGGGGGGAAGGGGGGCAAGGGGGGGGGGGGGGGGGGGGGGAGGGGGGGGGGGGGGGGCAGGAGATGGGGGAGGAAGGCAGTTTGGAAAGAAAAGATTCTCAGCATTCTGGACATGTGGGTGATGGTGGAATCGAGGCTGTGACTACCCCTGTGAGGACCCCCCACGTCGGAGGCAGATTCAAGGTGACGGGGAGGCTGAGGAGCTGGGAAGCCAGCTCGTCCAGGGCACACTGACATGGCCGCCAAGGGCCCTGGACGTGAGAGTAGCCTGAGGCGTAAAGCAAGCAATGACTCCTCCAAGATCGCTCCGGACAGGGCCGGAGGCAGAGGGCATGGCAGAGGAGAGGCCGCTGGGCAATGGCGAATCTCGATTCACGCTCTCTACCTGAGCCCAGGCGGTTCTTATGCAGAGTCCCGCTGAGGTTCCGGCAGCGCACAGGAAGCTCACTGTCGTACGCAGACGGGTCCCAGTTATACTTTGTGCCCCCTTTGTCCTGGCCGGCAGCTAGCGGAGTCGGAGAAGACTGAGGCCCTTGGGACAAAGAAGGCATCCAAAACTGAACAAAGTGCAGAGAGCGAAGACGGCATCCCGCCCTTCCCGCGGTCAGCTGAAGAGGAGGCCGGACGAGGCCGGACGAGGCCGCTGGGCCTGAGCCTGTCCGCTTGTCACGGGCACTGTGCAGCCAGGGCCCCCCAGCCAGCTCCCCTTATCCAGGCCGTGTGCCCTCCTCCGCCAGCTCCCTTTCGGGGCTTCCTTCCTACCAGAGCTCTCTTCTGATCCTTCCCCGGCCCTGCCCTCACACCACTTCCTATTTAACCACATACATTCGGGGAGTCGGCCCCAGTAGAATACATGTCCAGGAGCTTAGGGCTTTCGTCTCAGTCCAGCACAGTGCCTGGTACAGAGCAGGCACTGAATAGACGCTTACTAAACTGATTGCGCTAATCATCCAAGTTAATTTTCCATTCGGAACTGAACAACCCATGAGTTTGTCGCTGAGGCGCTCCAGCCTTGCAAAGGAATGAGCAACAAACCAAGTTGATGCAGTGTGCCTCTGACAGTGGGCTCTGCTGCTGCGCCCTGCCTGGAGGGAGGGGTGAGGGGCACCGAATCCTACCTGGGGGGAGAGGGGGAGGGGCCACCGCATCCTACCTGGTGGGAGGAGGGGCACCGCATCCTACCTGGGGGGGGGGGGGGGGGGGGCCACCGCATCCTACCTGGGGTGAGAGGCGCAGGGGGTGCCTTCAGGCCAGTGGTCTCCACAATGCTGCCATCTGTGTGGACAACGATCAGGGTGGCCTTCTCCGTACTTAAGCCATCTCCAAGTTGAAGAGCTGCTCTTCCAGACTACAGGGGAGAGACGGGCCAGAGAAGCAGGCCCTGAGTGCCTTCCTATGGCACAGGCATTCAGCTAAAGCTGCTGAACCCTGGGAGGCCAAGAGGTCAAGAGGTCACTCCAGAGCCATCTGGCAGAGGCCAGGCCCACAAAAGCTGCACTTCAATTACAGGAGCAGGCTGACTTTATCGCTTCTCCTGTGGGCACCTGCAAGAGCCGGCAAACTCGGCTCTCCCCTCCCCAATTCACTCTCTCCACAGCTGCCCAAAGGATACTCTGGCCTGGGGTGGAGAGCCTCCTCAGTCCTTGGGTGCGGTCTTTTAGGAAGGGGATTTGTTCTGTGAAGGACCGCCCTCGAGGACCTAGAGGGCCACATGTGGCCTTCAGGCCACAGGTTCCCCACCGCTGCTCTGGGCTCTCCAGCTCAAGAAGTTTCAGGAGCTCCTGTTACCACTGGGATAAAAACCAAAGGATTGTTTGGCCCCGAAAGGCCCGAGTCCATGCTCTGTGCTCCAGCCAAACCATCGCTCCTGCTATATCCTCTGTACAACCCGCCAGCTCCCAGCCTCAAGCATTTGCATCAGCTTTCCCTCCTTGGCCCCCTTGGAATCCTCAGCTCAAGGTCTAGTTCCAGGATGGTCTCCTACTTGGAAGGACCTGCCGGCATCCCCAGGCCTCAACTTCCGTCTCCCTCCCCAAGTTACTCTGTAAATACCATAGTTTCAGTCCCTTAGAAAGTCAGTCAGTCAGTCGCTAAACACTGATTAAGAGCCTTCTGTATGCCAGGCCCAGTCCCTGCCCCAAGGAGCTCCCAGGCTAATGACAAAGAAGGGTGGTCAACCATGGTCAAAGTAAGAGGAGACGTTAAGGGAGAGAAGGCAGTCCTAAGCTTGGTGGGTCCTGTGCAGCTAAGCTGCAGCCCCCCCAGAACCCAGCAGAGGCTGCTCACTGGGGCACCCAGTGGGTGTGGCCAGAGGGAGACAGCCCCCAGAGCAGCCACTGTGGGCACTCTGTAGTCAGCTAGAAACAGGGTGTCACGAGAATCTTGAATGATACGGAAGTTAATTTTTACAAAGTTTTCTTTGCTGCTTTCCCAGAGAAGTTCCAAAAATTCACACTTTAAAAAAGTTTTTAGAAATCTTGTTTTTTGGCCTAATCCTTTGACCTGTGCTCTGAAGCATTCCCAGTATGGGGAAACTCCCTCTCCCTCCCCCAATTCCTCCGTCTCTCTCTCACAATCAGAGATGTCCAGAGCACACTCCAGCTCACAGTGGGGAGAGGGCAGGGATGGCTCTCTGGCCAGTACAGCTGGCTGCCCCTAAGATGCTAATTGCTCGAACTCAGAGAAGACAACCTTCCCCCTGCAGATGGGCAGACTTGCCACGGTCCTGCAGCTCACAGGACCCATCCACACGTGTTCAGTCGATGCCGTCCATGTTCTTGAGTGCAGAGGCACGGGGTGGGGGACATAAGCCAGAGGCCTAAGAGAGCTACCCAGACCACAGGTCCCAGATCCCCTCCCCACATACACAGCACTCGGCTACGATCGTGCTCCCCCTAACTGGCCCCACATGGTACCCAGCCCTATCAAAGCTCAAGATGAAGATTCGGAGCAGACCGTAACTCAGGCCATATTTAATTTTCCCAAGACCCATCCTCTGTGCCCCAGCCCATCCACCATCCAGGCCCCCTCCACATACAGGCCAGCGGCCTTTGGCCTTGACAACCCATCTCAACAATGATAGCTCCAACACCAAAGTGTTTGCCTTGGAGCAGGCTCAAGCACTTGACTTGGGTCCTAGACCTGCCAGCCTAGCAGAATGACCACTCACTGCTCTCCCAAAAGCACCAGCCTCCTCGTTAGGCCGCCCTGGGACAGCCTTTCCCCGAGAATGCAAGAATGACAATACCCTGAGGGCAAAGGGAAGGTCCACATGGTGGGCTTCTAACACACACACACACACACACACACACACACACACACACACACACGGCATCCAGATGCGCCTCAAACTAAGCCACACGGAAGCTCTGTCCTAGATTCGGGCCCCTGTTGATGCTGAACCCCAAAGTTCAGAGGATACTCTTTGCAGTCCTAGGAAAGTCGCTTACCAGCATGTGCCCAGAGAGAGACGCAGCGCTGGCCACGGAGGTGGTGAAGACATTGTCCGCGGAAGATTCCACGTTGGCCACAGTCACCGTGGTCACTTCTGAAACAGAGAATGTGCTCCTCTGAATCTTTGTGACTGCCAGAAAACCACTCCGATAAAGTGATGTAAACAGCCCTCTCTTAGGAAACTCTAACCGTTCACGGAAGGCTCTGTTGCTCTTTGAGGGGTACACAGCGGAGGGGTCAGCTTATCAGCTTATCGGGAACACTTGAGACAGACGACCCGCTCTGAGCCAGACGGACAAGTTCGTCCCGTCAGTAAGAGATGAGGGCCACGGGTCCCTCCCCACTCAAGACTGCCTGGAACTTCATTGGTCACAGTCTGAAGCTGTGGTTTCAGACACAAACCTGCTCCTCCCTGGGCTTGCTGAGTCTAAGAAGGCAGGCTACAGACTCCGGGCCTTCTCAGTGGTTCAGCACGAGGCCAGTTAGCTAGGCTGACCAGACCAGCCACCCTTGTGGCTCGGAATAAAAGCCCAGCAAAATAGCCACAAGAAACATAACTTTAATACATTGTACAGAAAAAACCACGGCCACCTGGGAGCTCAGGACCCTTGTCTGATGTCCTAATGGCCTCCCACTTCCTTTCTCCATTCAGAAAACCGCTGGCAGAAGGGGACAAACACTCCAGTGAGAGGTGGGTCCTCCTCCTTCCCACGTCCCCTCCCCGCTGGGAAGGGACTGCCAAAGCTACAGAGGGGGAAGCTTCTCTCAGGAAGGACCTTTTAAGCCCATCAGTGACAAAACTTGATCTAAAAGCAGGATTTGCTCTTCATGGCTGATGGCCTTTGAAGACAGTGATATGTGTGGTTTGGGAAAGACAGTGCCAGTCAACTTGGTGGATTAGGAAGGGGCCAAGCAGGGCCCTGGGAATGGCAACCACCAGCACACACCTAAAACAAGTATGAGTTATATAAGAATCAAAGAGACCTTCGTTCCTGCTGTGAACATGCACCACTGACTGGCCTGGGCAGCCAGAAGAGGGACTCAGCTGCCCCTGCTTGGCACAAGACAGTAAAAAGAGAAAGCGGGGGACGACAGCCCTCAGATCTCTCTGCCCCCTCCGAAGTCTGACAGAGAAGGAAAAACTGAGGGCTGTGCAAAGAGGATGTGTCTGGAGGAAAGGAGACAGGAGGGTCCCATGGGACGGGAAGGGGGAAGGGGCTGCTCTGGTTCTCTCAGAGGCCTAGCCAAGATTAAGGTCCTTCCCCACATGGGTGGGATGACATGTGCTCCTGTTGGGAAAAGGTCCAGCCCTTTCTCCCAGGCCCAAAATAGGTGGCCCTGTCCCCAGTCCAGTAAGGTACTGGGTGCATGAGCCTCACAGGCAAGGCGTGAGGCCTGAACCTTCCTCAGGGGAGAAGCATGAGCCCCAGGAGTAGGGGGAGATGAGAAGCCATGTGCTTCCTCAGGCAGGTGTGCCAGACTCATGATAAGTGTGTGCATCCTAACTGCAGTCCTTATTCCTCAGGTGCGTGTCGGATGTGGGCCCTGAACACCAAATGAACCAGGCGGAAGCCTCAGACTATAGGTATGTGCCTGCCAGGTGAGGGCCTCAGGGCCAGGTGAGTGCCAGGGATGGGCCTTGGGGTCCCAGGTCGGTGCCAGGGATGGCCTTGGCCCAACACTTGCCTGCGAAAGTGGCTTCCTCCTCGGGGTCAGGGGGCTCGGGCAGCGCCTGCTCCCTGGCGCCCACGTCCACGTGCCTCACGGGCTCCGACGTCTCTATGACAGCCACGGTCCGCATCCGGCGGGCCTCCCGATCAGGGTCGGGGTCGGTGTCTGTGTCTGTCTCTGAGTCTGAGTCTGAGTCCAAATCCGGGGCCTCATCTTCTGAGCTGGCAGCACCCCTCGCGGCTGCCACTGCAGCGGCCATCGCGGCAGCCTCGGCGGAGTCTGAGTCCTCCATGAGGCTCAAGCAGCACTTGGCCAAGAGTGCTGAGACCCCAGCAGAGTTCAGCTGAGCAGGATGGGCTGAGGCCTGGCTCAGAGGAGGAGGGGTGAGACCCAGGCCCGGCTCAGCAGAGGGGGGTGAGACCCCAGCCCAGCTCTGCCGAAGCGGATGAGACCCAGGCCCAGTTCTGCAGAGGGGATGAGACCCCAGCCCAGCTCTGCCGAAGGGGACGAGACCCAGGCCCAGTTCTGCCGAAGAGGACGAGACCCAGGCCTGGCTCAGCAGAGGGGGGTGAGACCCAGGCCCGGCTCAGCAGAGGGGTGCGAGACGCAGGCCCGCTCAGCAGAGGGGGGTGAGACCCAGGCCCAGCTCTGCTGAAGGGGACGAGACCCAGGCCTGGCTCAGCAGAGAAGGGTGAGACCCCAGCCCAGTTCTGCAGAGGGGTGAGACTCCAGCCCAGCTCTGCCGAAGGGGACGAGACCCAGGCCTGGCTCAGCAGAGGGGGGTGAGACCCAGGCCCGGCTCAGCAGAGGGGTGCGAGACGCAGGCCCGCTCAGCAGAGGGGGGTGAGACCCAGGCCCAGCTCTGCTGAAGGGGACGAGACCCAGGCCTGGCTCAGCAGAG